CCCGTGCCCGTTTCGAGGAGCTCTGCGGTGACCTCTTCTCGCACACGATCGAGCCCGTCGAGAAGGTCCTCCGCGACTCCAAGATCGACAAGGGATCCGTCCACGAGATCGTCCTCGTCGGTGGTTCCACGCGTATCCCCAAGGTCCAGAAGCTCCTCACCGACTTCTTCAACGGCCGCGAGCTCAACAAGTCGATCAACCCCGACGAGGCCGTCGCATACGGTGCCGCCGTCCAGGCCGCCATTCTCTCGGGTGACACTTCGGAGAAGACCCAGGACCTGCTCCTCCTCGACGTTGCCCCTCTCTCGATGGGTATCGAGACCGCCGGTGGTGTCTTCACCCCCCTCATCAAGCGCAACACCACTGTGCCCACCAAGAAGTCCGAGATCTTCTCGACCTACGCCGACAACCAGCCCGGTGTGCTGATCCAGGTCTTCGAGGGTGAGCGTGCCCGCACCAAGGACAACAACCTGCTCGGCAAGTTCGAGCTCTCGGGTATCCCCCCCGCGCCCCGTGGTGTTCCTCAGATCGAGGTCACCTTCGACGTCGATGCCAACGCCATTCTCAACGTCTCGGCCGCCGAGAAGGGCACCGGCAAGTCGGAGAAGATCACCATCCGCAACGACAAGGGCCGTCTCTCGTCGGAGCAGATCGAGGAGATGCTCAAGCAGGCCGAGCAGTTCGCCGAGGAGGACAAGCAGGCCCTCGAGCGCACCCAGGCCAAGAACGGTCTCGAGTCGTACATCTACAACGTCCGCAACACCACCAACGAGCCCCAGCTCAAGGACAAGCTCGAGGCCGCCGACAAGGAGGCGCTCGAGAAGATCGTCAAGGAGGGCATCGAGTGGCTCGACTCCAACACCACCGCCTCGACCGACGAGCTCAAGGACAAGCAGAAGGAGATCGAGGAGCAGGTTAACCCCATCATGACCAAGATCTACTCGGCTGCTGGCGGCGCTCCCGGTGGCATGCCCGGCGGTGCCCCTGGCGCCGCTCCCGGTGCTGCCCCTGGCGGTGACGACGGCCCCACCGTTGAGGAGCTCGACTAATTCTTCTCGCGCAGCTCAATCTAGTCAAAATTTCCACTCGTCCCCCCCGCGGATGGCGTTCGTTTCTTGCATTCATTCCCCCCTCGCCATTCGCATGTACTCGTATCTTGTGTTCCGTTCAATCTGATCCGACCTAGTTGCATAGCACCTTCTCTTGAGTGGCGTGAATTGGGGAAAAGTGAGATGACCCCTTGGGTAGACCGCACTTGAGAACGTGAATCGTGTGTCGAGATGATGGTTCTAGCTGCGGTTCGAGACTGATAGTGACTGAACATTTTCGGGGCGCTTTGTTAGATCCTCGATTCTTCAGCTGTGAGATTTTGCCGCGCGACCAGATGCTTCTGCGACCGCACTTTGCGCGAGTCCACTTTAGACACGACGCGACGCGAGGCAGACCAACACTTTTGGGCATCGTTGCGCGGCTCGACTCAGGCGGCCAAGCCAGAAAGTTCGGCGGGTTGGAGGGTATCCTTCCGCCTTCGTGATCCACACCCTCGCGACCTTGTCTTCGTCCGTCGTCCCCCGTGAACGCATCTCCCATCCCGATAGCAACCCAGGCTTCACCCGACTTTGACGCCGGCGCCTCAATCCGCGACTGCGTCCCGAAGCGCACGCAACAACGATGGAGTCGACCCAGTCGGAGGATGTCAACGTCCAGATCGTTCATTCGGGACCCACATACTGCATCCACGCGCCCAAGAATGCAGGTGTAGAGTGAGTGCTCTCATGACCGCCATCGACCGCCATCAAGCCGATGATTTCAAGCTGACGCTGTGATCCTTCTTTCTGCCTCTCTTCGAACGCCACAGCCGACTGTTCACGGGCGGTGACGACTTCCTCGTCCGCATCCTGCCAACATTGCCGCTTCCCGGCGTCGAGCCGCACCTCATCGAAGACGCCACTGAGCCCATCACCTCTCTCGATGCCGACGATCGCTTCCTCGTCACTGCGTCGGAGGACGGCTCGGTCCGTCTGTACCGACACCACCCCGTGGACGCCGACGGCAACTCGACCTCTCCCACTGTGCTTCAATCTTTGCTACGTCGCGAGACTCTGCCGCTCCGATGCGTCGCTCTGGAACGTCACGTCAAGAGTGGCAAGTCACCGCGCGTTGCCGTGTGCTCGGACGAGCTCATCATCAAGATCATCGACGTCGAGGACCCCAGACGCATCCAGCTGCTCGACGGCCATAATCGCGGCCTCCGATCCGCATCTTGGAGTCCTGCTGCATCGCTGCTGGTCACTTGCTCCACCGACGGCGTCGCAAGAGTCAACGATCTCAGCGACGTCGAGCCCAAGCTCGTCAAGTCGATCGAGGGCATTCTGCCCAGCACCCGGGCCGAAAGCGACGAGGCTGCCTGTGCCTGTTGGCATCCCTCGGGTAACTACTTCGTCCTTCCCTCCAAGACTCACGAGCTCGTCGTGATCAGTGCTCACAGCGGCTCTTCTGCTTGGTCGCGCATCGGCAACTTTGTCGCCAGCTCCAGCGGACCCGTTCCTCTTCCAAGCGGCAGCATCACCGCTCTGGCTTTCTCTCCCAACGGCCGTTACCTCGCCTCTGCCACGAACAACGGACAGGTGACCATCTGGGATTCGGACTCTCGCCAAGCCATCCGATCGAAGCGCGCCGACGCCCTCGTCAACGCCATCAGCTGGCACCCGTCCAAGGACGCTCTCGCCTGGACAGACAACGAGGGCGCCCTCGCTCGATGGTCCAGTGTCGTCGGCAGCACCCGTCCGAGTCCTGTTGAAGAGATCACATTCGACAGATCCAAGATCTACCGAGGTGCCCGCGGCCAGATCGACGACATCTTTGCCGGCACCGGCCTTTCGGATGACGAAGATGACGACGTGGCGCAAAGATCGCAGCACGGCGGCGACGATGCTGATGATCTGGATGACTTCGTCGTTGATGATGAAGCGCGCTCGCGAAGGGACGGCCATGGCTCCTCTCGCTCCCGTTCCTATCTTCGCGGAGGCCACGGTGGCGCCGCGGCCGGGCCGGGTGGAATGATGATCGCTGCGACGCGTCCTCAACCGAGCTTCCAGCCGACGTCGACGCCGATGCGCGGCCAGCGCCGCTACCTCGCGTACAACCTGCTCGGCTCGGTCGTGGCCGTCGAGCAAGAATCGCACC